TATTTCTCAAATGAAATGATCTTCCATCAGACACACTTCAGAGCTAGCAATAAGATTTTTTTTTTTCCCAAAAAGGGGGGATGGGATTTGGAAGCAAGTAATCCTCGATTTTCCCTAAGGTCTTGAAAACTGCTGACAGACATCCCTGGAGCATGAAACATGCATTCACCCAGAAAGAAAGCAGTCTGGGCAGAAATGGGTCATACAAGATGCTTCACAACACTGCTTGACTCCAGAAAACAGTGGATGTACATGGAGAAGGTATCTATTATCCAGCAGGTGCATTCAGGTTTGATGTGAGCTGGACTTACGCCAGCTGCCTCTAAAGTCATCAGGATCTTTCCTTTGGCTTCAGTGAGAGACACAGTGATGTACACCTACTAACAGACTGACCTGCAGAGTTGTTGGAGAGGAGGACTGCTATGGGGCTGCCAAGAAACTTGCTACAGAGGTTCAGAGAACGTCTGGACACTTCCTTCTCTCTTCTTTCATTTCATGAGAAAGAGCAGGTCCCAAGAGCAGAGCACATACCACATAGAAAAGGGCAAAAAGATCAGTCTGGGAAGATAAAACAGACAGTTAGTGGACAGTGACCTTGCACAAAGCAGAGGTGATACCAGTGAGCAGAAGGCGGCACCTGGATGAATTTGCATCTGCAGAGAAACCTCCTTTGACTAAAGACCCCAGTGTGGTGTTACTCTGTCAAATCAGCTTCTCAGTTCATGAAAACTCCTGGATTTGTCATTGATGGACAGCCTGATACAACATTAGCACCATCTCCAGGGGCTGGGACAGTGCCTTCGCCTGACAGATCTGACAAAGATCTGGACTATGACAATATCCAAGCATGAAATTATCAGCCTTTACGAAACTCTATTACAGACTGCTACCAGGTTTCCAAACTAACACAGGCTTTGCTCGGAGATTTGGCCTAGTTGAGGGGAAGAGGAGGGACAGGAAAGAATGGCTGATGACCACTAAAACATATTCCGTTTCCAGAAGTGCAGTTTTATGTGAGGCTATAAAAAGGGCACAGAGAATCTCTGGTCTAGAAATAGCAAATTAAAAAAAAAATAATTTCTTGGTTACAAAAGATTTGAATTAAAACTTGCTAGGAAGGGCTCGCTATTGTGCGGGTGATTCCTTTGAATCAGAGCAATGCCTGTATTTTTAATGGGCCTTTCTGCTAGAAAATAACACAAAGCCAGAAAGCTGGATGTTTTCCTTCAAACGTGCTTCAGATATTTTCTCTCTCTAACACAATGTGGCCCCATTAAATTAAGATATGTATCACTAGGTCTAATTAATATAAGATGCAATCTGAAACCTTTTAGAAATTAGTACTAGATTATAAGCACTTTCACATCATTACAACCCTTATAACAACAAATAACCAAATAAGCAAGGGCATTAAATTTACTCACTTTCATTCAGCAGAACTCACAGGCAGAGTTTTGGTCCCAGGGGCATCTGTTCTCTGTTGATCACCTTCCTTTTCAGAGGATTTGGCCTCAGAATTCAGCTACTTTGGGTTACAAAACTTAGAATATGTGCATTTGGGTTGACATATGACAGTAGTAGCAGTAGGTTTAGTAGATCTACCTTCTTGCAATTTTAAAGTATAGATTATCTTAACTAAGGCCCTCACCAGCATAAACATCATACACAGGTTTACTGGGGCAAAACTAAATCACTCCATAAACAGATTTGTAAGTGCATGGCTTGACTCTCTAAATACAGCCTCTGACAACATCCATAAAGAAACCACTTCCTTGTTACTTCTGAGAGGTTCATGTTTCTTTTATAGTTTGGGAGGAATTGGGGACTGAGCAGGGAGAGGTTGCTCTTAATTCATTCAACTGAGCAGCAGCAGCAGGTACATCTTCAGAAGACTGCTTTCATTAGAGGAGAAAATGTTATCTCATGGCAGACAGTCATATCCCAGTACAAATAGTCATACCCCAGTTTCTACTCTGTTAATGGACAGCTATTCCTATATTAACTAATTTGTCTTTAAAAAGCAGGGTTTATTAGCATTGGCACAAAGGCCTTGAGCTATGGTGTTTAAACTACTTTCAAACGAGCTAGCTGCAGGAGAAGACATATGGTAGCACAGGCTATGTAAGCATAGCTGCACAAAGGCACTTGGGGGACAGGGTGGGAGGAAGGGCATACCCTGACCCGAGAAGATCACTACGTGCCACACCGTACACTAGAGATCCTTTTACAGTTCCACCATCCGTTTACACCACAGCCATTCAAAAGAATGCCAAGGGTTCATAAAAAGTAGGTGCTAGGTACTCCATTACCTAGAGCAATGTTCTGAAGTTTAATTACCCACAGCACCAAAAGTACAGTATCAACTCAGACAACGTATGAAATTCAGCACCTAGATTTCTCACAAAAGCCTGTAAAGTGCCTAGAAGCAGCAACACCAGAATATTTCACTGGCATTGTAACTTAATATTTCACAAAACCATTTCACTATCTGCTGAACACTGATGTTTCACAACTCAGTGAAATGTAGCAGTCAGAGAAGTCTGGTCAGTTGCCCACAGAATAATTCTTTTCATATGTTACCTTGTGTAACTGATCCTAATTCCTATAGTATTCCATAGGTCTGAAAAGGGGAAAAAAAAAAAAGAATGCCTGCAAACACAGATTGCTGGACCATCTGACACAACCAGAAGGATGAGAGAGGGATTAGACAATAGACCCCTAAGCATCCTGTGGTAGCTACCATATTTGTCCCTTTGGAAAAGAGCCCAGGGGCTTTATGCCAGGGGTGAAAGGAGAAGGAAAAACAGATTAGGAGGCTTTGAGAGTCATTCTTCAAGGGGGGGCAGCTCGTTGGTCGTATTCTGCATAGCTCCAGAAAGAGGATCATCAACCAGCCTGTTTGAGGTAATGAGATGGAAGATGTATGTGTAGAAAGCATGAGCCGGTCAGTCCACACAGACATATAAATTTCTCCTTATCAAGGAGAGAGGATCCCACACAGTGGGACTCTTCCCTCACTGAAAAACAAGAATTTTGAGCCAGCAGCAAGACTAGCCCCACACAACAAGAGCCAACTGAAAGGAAGCGACGGATTACAGGCAGCTGAGATCCATCAGGGGACTCCATGTCTCCTGGGCCAAAGAGAACCTGAGATATCAAAAATTGCTTCTGCTACAAGAACAGAGATGTTTGATTTTTTACTTCTCCCTTCCAAGCAAAAGAATTATTTACTTATCTGAACAAAATGAGAACATTAAAGTTCTAACGAAAATAGATCAAACTGCCAAGCTGTCCTGTCTTAGAGACAAGATTTCTGTGAGTCTCGTGTAAAAAACAACCTAGTTCTCCAAAAAAGGCATACTCACTTCTCATGTACACCTGACTTCAGGGGAAGGAGCCATTGATTTTGAAAGTGGAGATAAACTACTGCCCACTGGCAGCATCTGTGGAGAAACAGCTATTAGACACAGAGAACAGCATTTTGGAAATCTAGATATTAAACACTTCAGAATTAAAAGCACTGTACATATCACAGTAAAAAGCAAACCCAGGTTCAATTTATTGCTTCACAAAACAAATAGACCAGCTCTAGCCCCCAAAGAGACAGCTAAGGTGCCCTCCTTAAGTACCATTTCCCAGTCACAAATGTAGAAAAAGAACAGAAACAGAGAGTGGAGTATCTCCCACTCCATGGTAGTCCCATTCTGTCACTTGCAAGCAAACCCAAAGGTGAAAGACCAACAGCTTCATCAACTCACCTGTCCCCACTCAGAGTTTGGGTCAGTAGCAGTAACCCACGAGACATTTTGACCCTTCCTCAGCTGAGCTAAGGGTACTGTCACCTTTAGGCATTGAGTTGCTCAGCATTATTATAGCCCTGAGGCTGGCAGAGCCTCCCAAGAGTCCACTCTGTTCAAAGTCACTGTTCACAATAGACTCCCTCTAGGTGATAGCCAAAAGCACCAGGTTCTGGAAATCCAAGTTCCTTAAAAGTTTGTTGAGGAACTCTTGGCCAGTAGTCCATGAAAATCTAACAAGATATCTATTTTGTTCTTCTCTGTATTTGTCTACAACAAAACTCCAGGTGAGTACAGCCACCTCTACTAATAGTGGCCCAAGGTGACAAACTTAAATGCACCATGACTTCTAAAGACATAAAATGGGCAACAGCAGAGTTTGTGTAAGTCAGCAGAGTGTGAAAGCTCAGCTAAGTCCCACCCTTCTGCAGGGCACTGCATTTATTATCTTTAATCAGAAGATGTCCTCAGGATTTTTTCTTTCCCCCAAGAGCAACCACAAAAATCTAATGTTCTAAAATGAATGCACTTGTCTAACCTTTGGTAACAAGGGAAAGGGACCAATGCTTATTTACATATGAGAAGCCACACTATGAGAATACTCTTACATCTCTTTCTCAAGAACTAACAGAACTGAAATACTTGAGAATGATTGATTTTATTCACATGTTGGATTATTCAGAAAAAAATTAAAAAGCGAAGAATGACTCTATGGTAGAAAATCCTCTAAATCAAAGTGAAGTTCCAGTAAGTCTATGTCCTTTGAGAGCTAAATGCTTTTTGGTATTTTCTACAAGCAGGATAAATGCAAGCAAATGCATGAAAACATTTTGACATTAGTGTCTCGCATCCAATGTTATTTCATGAAAATGTCTGAGGTACTGTTTTGTTTTATTCAGTACATTTTCAAAGTGCACATTTTGGTGTTTATGGAACAAAGTCAAGTTTCAATACTTTTATCCCTTTTAAACAATACGCTGTTGGCTAACACAAGTTTCTCAGTACTCAACATGTATCAGATCAACTGAGAAATAGTTTTAATTTTATTTTCACTATTAAGTTACTAGAAGATAACTTCACAATCAAGTATTTCTTTCAGCTGAAACATGGAAGCTAAGTGGCTATGTAAAGCTTTCTCTTTCAATCCCTTTTCCCCATCACCCTAATAGTGTAACTGAAGAATTAAAGTAATTTGTCTCTGGACTAGAAAGACTCTATACACAAGAATCCACATTGTTCTTGTGTTTCAAAACTATTTTTATTGCCTCCACAGCACCCGTACCAGAACTGACCACACATTTTCTGCTCTTTGTTGTAGTACCACTTCAGAATGTAATTCTGACATTCTCCACTATCTTGAACAAGGTCACATGCATCTGGAAAAGGCAAATAAGAGACAGATTTAATGAAAGAAAGATTCACCCTTCTCAGCATTGTAATTTCAGGGAAAAGTAATGTTCAGTGCAAACTGGGAGATGAGAGAGGTGGCCAGTGTTCAAAGTCTTACAATACTTCACTAAGTATTCATCCACAAACCCACAGTGCCGGCATGGCCTGAAGTCCCTCTTCTTATGATTGATTTAACCAGAAAGAATGTCTGAAACAACTAGATTCAGTGGCATAAACAGAAGGAATGCTAAAAGGTCTTTAGTCTTCTAACATAGACTTTTAACTAAAATTAATGTAAAATGATTATACCTGAACTATAGGGACTAGGTAAATAAAACTTTTCAGAATGTCCCTCGTCTTTATTCCAACTTGTTATACTGGTATCCATCAGTAAAATTTCATAAATGAACATACATAGATGGTTAAATTATCCAAGATAGTCTCTTAGTCAAATCCCAGAGTAATACAGATTTAAATTGCATAAAGTAGCCCAAAAGTAGGTGAGACTAGCATACTTTGTAGCAATCTAGTATTCAGTAAGTACAGATCTAATCAGCTTTCACCAATGTAAATTCAGAGTTACTCAAATAAAGTCAGAAGAGCAGTTCTAGACTTTGGTATCTGTATGACATCGAAGAGGAAGCACTGAGAAATAAAGCAAAATACTGATAAAACTACCCAACCTGAAGATTTAAAATGACATAACCTTCTTCTCCTAATCAACTGAAACACAATAATCTCAAGCAATAGATCAGTACAAAGTACATCTCTCAAAAGGCAAGTTCTGGAACTGTGCTACATGTTTTTAGAAGTAAACTGTTGGGTCACTAATTACAGCTCAGGATTGGAAACGGCAATCCATATGTCTCCTGTAAGTGGCTTAGGTCACTGCTCACAACATCAGTGCAATGACCCTGACTATTTCCTCACAGGAAATATTTTATTTGTAAAGTATAAACAGCAACATATCTTCATGCTACTGAATTTTCTGTGTTACCATAGAGTTCATGCACTGGTTAATGGGAGCACTGATTCAAGATTGTACATGTGCAGTTAGGCAATTGGACCAATTCCATCTGTGCTCAGCAAGTCTGTCATGCACTGTGGAGGTATGGCATTCCCAGCGGTACATTAGCTCTTAATTAAAGATCCAATACTAAAACAGTTTTGCAAAAGCATTGGTCCTCTTTCATCAGGGATGGGGCTACCAGACATTCCCAGAATCGTTTTTGAGTGGAGAGGGATGAAAAACAAAAGGATGGCAGCTGTAGCAATGAGCTACCACACCCAAACCTATGCAGACACCATTGCATTTTTTTCACAGAAATTCTCTCCAATTGTAGTCTAAACAACAAAAACACTTAATAGTGTTAAAAGAATGTTGGTGACAACTTATCTCACAATCAGCTTCCCACACCTATTGTATCAAATGGCAAATCTGCAAAGAAAAATGCATAATTAGGAAGCAAAGTAAAAAACATGAAGAATATTTTGATAGGATACCTCTGCTGAGGGATCCTGTTCTTCCTACAGGAACAGACTGTAGCAGAGACATATTTAGTTCCTCCATGTTGAGCTAAGTTAGCAGCAGGAGTAACTCAGTAATTATAGTGCAACTTGGGGATTTAAAATGATCAGCTGTTTTAGTAAAGGGGATTAGAACTTTAGATTATATTATTACAAAAAGTTACAAATCAAAGCTAAAGTCATAATGAAACCTGCAGTTCAGCCTTTAATTACAAACTCTACTGTATAGATTCGTACTGAATACAAACATATGGTGACAAAATGCTTTGGAAAATGTAATGGAAATGCTTCATACTGTGTAAATATTCAACTGAGCCCTTCACAATTTAGAGTCTTGTTACTGAATTAAAAAAGATTTTCATATTCTAAAATCATACCATAATCACTATAGGCAGCTCTAGTTTCTACTGTTGCCTCCAAGTTTTCCTCATTCTCCTGAGTTTCTCCATACTCTTGTGGCTTTTCTCCTTCAGTATCTTCCTCTGTGAAATACTCATTCTCTTGATAATCATATCCCTTTTCTGGCATTGTGTATACAGGTTCTGTGGTGGTATCTCTAACATTCTCCAGGACTCTACTTTCAGTTCTTTCAATGTCTTCTAAACCATGACCATAACCAGTTTCATCAGTTCCAGGAAAAGGCATCCTTCCAAGGAGAGGAAAAAAAAAAGAAGAAATTAAGTATTTAAGCACCAGTATGGCCTTGAAAAATGCATCTGTTCATTCCTTCTGAATGCCGTGAAAAAAAATTTTTGATCCTGATCCTGTTTCTGTTAAAGCTACTTTAAATATAACTACTAACCCAAAGGGAGAAATCTTATGCTCAGAGATACACACTCCAAAAGTTTAACAAGCAATTCCAAACCTTTCATTCATAGACGCTTGCTGTTGTGTGTCTTCCTGATCTAAGTTTTCACACTCTTCTTGAAGTTCAGGTGAAGGATAGCTGTTCACTTCTTCTGTGGGGAAAGCACAGGTACCACGGGTGAGTTTTAAAGTCCTCCAAACCCCAGTATGTTTAATAAAAAGTACCACGATTTTTTTTGTTGTGAACTGGAGTTGCATCTTTCAATAAGTAACACACTGTATCTAGAGTGACTGGCACTATGTCCAGGAAAATGAAAATTATGTTAGAGATCAGCTAGATGAGAATGACTCCTGAACCAACCTTTTATACTTTTGTCTTGCTCTGTAATACATTATTTATCCTTCTATAGAAACTTTGACATTTCTAAGCACATGCTTCTGATGAGGATTTTAAATCAGTGACAATTTCCTTCTTGATATTCCCGTTTGTATTTCAAAGCACCTAAGACCTGCTAATCTGCATGAATGTGTCTTGAAAAGGGAAGTTGTTCTTTCTCTGCTCTGCAGAGGAGGAATAACTGCAGTAAAGAGAGGTTACTGCAGTAAAGAGAGGTTAATGCCAAGTCTGCTAAATGTTTAAACTTGTATCTGCCCCAAAGCCTAAACAGGCATAAACAGCTCAGTAAATCTGGCCCTGCCAATGGTCAGAGGAGAAACGTAGGCCTAAATCAGGAATATAACCGTGTTCTCTTAGCTGAAGAATGATCTGTCTTTAGTGAAAGTGGAGCCAACAAAGCCACACATTAAATACAAACTTAAGGGAAAAAAACTACTTATGACTTTGGCCTAAGGCACCATTAGAGTATAATGCTGTTCTGTCATTACTGGCACTTCGATTAGTGTCCAGCATCTGCAGCAAACTAAAGATGAAAGATTGGCTAGCTAAACTATGACTAGAAGCTCAATGATAGTGTATATACACTGACTACCTTTTTCTACACAGCATTTCTTTCTTTCCATAACTTAAGCAAACGCCATTGCATGCTACTTACGTTGTAGAAGATTTAGAAATGCCCGGCTAAACCTCTGAGCATATACCATCTCAGACATTGAAACCCTGCCCAATGTCAGTAAGTGCTGGTCTGTGGGGGAGCTTGACAGCTCCATCAGCTGATTGTCACTCACATCATTGCCAAGTGCAAGAGTGAACAAGGTGAATCCTTGGCACTTGGCTCCAAGTGAAATCTCTCTCAGCTTCTCTCTGTCCCACATGCTTGTTTTGCTTCCAACTATTGCAAATATGACCCTGTGTTTTCTTTGTCTGGGGGCTTTAAAGAACACATTTTCAACCGTCCACTGTAGGGCAGAAGCAATGGCTGATGGACCTTCCAGTTGGTGAACAGACTCTTGGATATGTTTCTTCATCAAATCTTTATTGCTGTACGTGACTAGATCAAACTCCAAGGTCACAGGGGTCTGGTTTCTATCAGGCAAGAAGCCCCTGGGAGCCTGCTGCACCAGTGCCACTCTGATGCCTCCATATGATTCGTTTGGCTGTGAGGAAACGACAAACTGATCTAGCATGTTGCTCACAAAGTCTTTGGCTCTCTGAAACTCTTCGCTGCTGATGCTGCGAGAGCTGTCCATTATGTAAGTGATATCCATATCCATCAGAACAGGGGGAGAAAAGGGCACCTCACAGTTGGTACTCGGTTTGCATCTATCTAGAGAGGAAGAGGCAATAGGCAGCAAACTATTTAGCAATACAACAAAAGCAACAGTTTAGAAAAAAAATTCACACAGTCCTATTCATCTATTTTATCTTTCTTAAATTTTGATTAAAAAAATCAATTTGGCAACTTGAAATCTTGTTGTTTTAGTAAGGAACAACAGATGAGTCTTGCTGAACAAGGTTTTGAGATACCATGGGAAATCATTCAGGCATGAAAGCAAAAAATGTTCGTAAGGTAAAACTTAACAGATAAGAGTTCCCTTGAGAAATTTTCTTCCGTCAAAAGCTAAACATTGTAAAGGACACTGGAACAAACTCTGTTTTTCATCTCAGACTATTGTTCAGCATTCTGAAATATCATTTAGTAGCTTCTCTCCCCCTCACAATGTAGAATTTACAGTAAATGAGCCTGGTTTCCCAGAATCATAATGCTATTTTAAGTGCATTTCTGTTAAAAAGGAAATGCCAAACACAATAATTCATTTCACATGGCTGAGACAACAACTAATTAAACAGCTTTTGTGGCTTTGAGATTCTAATTCTTACCATCCACTGAAGGGAAAATTCAAATTGTAACTTCTCAGCAGTGGTAATCTGTAACCAAGGAATGATCTGGCATGGAGGGCAAGAAGGCCCAGTTGCAGAAGGGGTTAAACTGGCTGGA